GGGGCCGCGTTTTCCCCGGGCCCCCCGCCTCTTGCCGCGCGCAGGGAGCGGAGCTGCGGCCCCAGGCCGGGCTCGAGTTGGGACGCAGCCGTCCCGGCCCTCTGCCGCCCTCCCCCATCTCCTCCTTGGGGGGACGGTGCTTCTGAGAGAGAGCTCGGGCCGGGCCGGAGTAGTCGATGCGACGAGTTGCTCACATCCCTAATCTAGGGCATGCCCCGTGCCTCAGTTTACCCAGCCTGGCTAAGGATGTTAAATGGTGGGTGTCTGGCTAATCGTGTAGTTCATACAACTTGTAGGGACTGCACCGTTAGTCAATCGGGGATAGTTCCCAGAGCCACCCATGCTTCCGATCTGCATTTTAAATGTAATAAAAGCCTGGCCGCCACGTACAGGGGTTGCTTGCTGCTGGCAGCCTCCCCTGTCCCCCATCCCTGCTGCCTCTGATACAGGTAAGGGGGGGAAGGGGCAGGTGCACTATGGAGACAGTGCTGGGTGGGATAGTGATAGAAATGTAGCCGTGTTAGTCTGGGGTAGCTGAAGCAAAATACAGGACTATGTAGCACTTTAAAGACTAACAAGATGGTTTATTAGATGATGAGCTTTCGTGGGCCAGACCCACTTCCTCAGATCTGAGGAAGTGGGTCTGGCCCACGAAAGCTCATCATCTAATAAACCATCTTGTTAGTCTTTAAAGTGCTACATAGTCCTGTATTTTGTTAAAAATTAAAGGTGCTCAGATACAAAGGTACACACAGATTTTTTGGCTGTATTATAGGGAAATATCCCACCTGTTTTGATTTGGCAGCAAAGGTACATAGAGCTGGGAATGTTATCAGTAATTCTAGCAATGCATAATTGTGAAATAGGCGGAAAACAGACGATTGATTAAATAAGACTGTGAAACAGACTATAAGTCAATATTTCTTGACCATTTTGAAAACTAAAAATGGAACACTGACTATTGCTAATGGATCTATCAGAGACTGAAACTTTAAATTCAAGAGAAGAAATTATATTCACACTTTTTTGTTCTCTCAGCTTACAGAGATGTGTTCTTTTTATTCAAACCAGTGCTTTTTGCAATAACATTTCATGTTTCTATAATATAGATCTAATAATTTAAATGGAGAAATAAATGAGCACAACATGCAATTATTGTTTTGTTTGTAGTTTTTGATTTATTTGAAATATACCTTAATTTCTAGTGAGGAAAATAACTTTCTCCAGATCATAAACATGAAAAGAAATGTGAGTGGGCATTATTATATAAGGTTAGATGCCAAAACTTGTAACATGTCAACACAGGGTTCCCCCCTCCCCACACACCCCTTATAATTAATTCATCAGAATTGCTTAGGGGACTTATTCAGACCCATTTTATAAGGAGTGTTACTAGGAAATTATTCTCTGTGCTTTCATTTATTTAAAGAATATCATTGCTGAATTCACAATAAGCAAATCAGTTAAAAGAAAGCCTTTGGGGGAATGTGGTAAATTAAAAACAAAATACAGTGAATGGAATATGGAATTTACAACCAGAAAACCTTGTGAAGGAGTGTGCATTTCAACACTGATATAAATCACAGTTTCTGTAAATACGTATAGCATAATGAATAAATGATTACTGAATGCGAAGCTAAGTAAGCCATGTTGTTATAACTTGCACAGCTGTACCTTCCTTGGTATACATGAAGTTCCTGCATATGGGCGTTGGTAAATACTAAGAAGAAATAACTAAAGACATGGGGTATGTCTACACTACCCCGCTAGTTCGAACTAGCGGGGTAGTGTAGACATACCCCTATTAGAAATCACTCACCAATGTCTAAATTATTTCCAACTCCAACATTATTAAATTTATTTCTCCTCAAGCCCTAAGTTTTACTATGTCACATTCTTACGTTTCTATATGGAATATTCCAATAATGATAACCCTTGACGTCCAAAAAATACCTTAATGTAGAATAGGTTAAAAGCACCTTAACCTCAAAGGTTGCTTAAATGTACTAATACAGAGAATTGAAGTAATGACAATGCACTTATTTTGCATCTGCACTGCTACCATTTGGATAATTAATTTAAACATTCCTAGGGGATATGGTTATTTTAAAGAAGTTTCTATGCGGTATTTATAGAATTCAGGAGGGGAAAATGGTTTCCCAGAATATTTACACACATCAGCTTTGTAAAAAACTGATAAGGCAAGGAAGAGGTGACAAAATCCTCAAAACCTTAAAATGCTTCTGGAGAAATCCTGAGAAATTGTCTTGTTTCTCTGTTACCCTTTCAGTATTTTATTTACACTACATGGAGATTACTTTTTGGCAATCTTTTGTTTTTCTTTTCAACTTCTTTTAGTATATCTTGCAATTTCTTAGAAGTTTGTGTCAAGAATGCAAAGCTCTCCTTTAAATTGCTAGTCCCGTGCTCTCTGCATATGTTCTCTAGCCCATCAAACCACTGGAGAATCTTCTCAAGTTCTGTCTGAACCACTTTCTGTTCTTCAAGCTCTGCTAAAAGTGCCTGTCTAGCAGACACTTCAACTTTGTATTGTTTCTGTAGTTGATCAATTTCACCTTGCAGCATTTGAAACTGTTCCTTACTGTAGGGGTACTGCTCCTGGACCTTGTCTTCAGGAAGTAAAACATTTTTAGGGATGTTTAACACCAACTGCAAAAGCACTTGTTCCATTTTGCCGAAGAGATGATCAAAGCGCTCCTTCATAAAGAGAAGAAATTTCTCTGTGCTCTTACGGATTTGGAATGGACTGATCTTAGAGTTAGGAAAGCCTTCTAGTTTCTTCAGAATGACTCTTTCCACAACCAGCATCATTTCAAACAAGTAGTCTTGAAATGCAATGTAGACCCTAAGCATACACGTCTGAGGGGTAAAACCAAAGAACTGAGCTTCATATGCCATAGGATTCACTGACATCTTGGCTAAAAGGCATCAACCAAAGACAATATGGAAATCTGTAAAGGGAAAAAGGAACATAAGTTTAAATCTGTATTTTGGAAAGGGTGAATTTTATTAGTATAGTATCAAGGGGTAGCTGTCTTAGCCAGTCTTTAAGATGTACAGGACTCTTCATTGTTTTTGCAGAGACAAACAGATTTATTTGAGCATCAGCTTTTATGGGCAAAGATCCACTTTGTCTTTGCCCACAAAAGCTTATGCCCAAATCTTAGCCTTTAGGTGTCAAAGGACTCCTCCTTGTATTAGCACTATACTGCATTAACCTCATTTACAAAGAGCAGAGTTCAAATCTGAATTTAGGAGAGTTAATTTGTCACTCTGACTCAGAGAAAACTACATCTTTATCTACCACCAGTGCTAACCATGTCATTAGGCTTGAGGAAGGATTCTGTATAATGTAAAAGGAAGCTTCTTTTATAGTTTATGAATGCACAAGTGATGAATTGTGTTAACACCTGCAGCACTCTCCAAACATATTACATCTTGCTATCAATAAGTTTATCTATATATTTTTAGAAATGTGCATCTGTTTGTCTGTGGGTCTGTTTGTTCAAGAACTCCTCCTAAACGATAAGAACTAGGAGAACCAAATTTGGCGCACAGCTTCCTCTTCTCCTAACTTAAAACATGGTCAGGGTTTGGGGGCCGCGTTTTCCCCGGGCCCCCCGCCTCTTGCCGCGCGCAGGGAGCGGAGCTGCGGCCCCAGGCCGGGCTCGAGTTGGGACGCAGCCGTCCCGGCCCTCTGCCGCCCTCCCCCATCTCCTCCTTGGGGGGACGGTGCTTCTGAGAGAGAGCTCGGGCCGGGCCGGAGTAGTCGATGCGACGAGTTGCTCACATCCCTAATCTAGGGCATGCCCCGTGCCTCAGTTTACCCAGCCTGGCTAAGGATGTTAAATGGTGGGTGTCTGGCTAATCGTGTAGTTCATACAACTTGTAGGGACTGCACCGTTAGTCAATCGGGGATAGTTCCCAGAGCCACCCATGCTTCCGAGGTTTCTGGGGGAATTCACCACAGGCTGAGAGTGGATAATAGCAGGAGTGGGGGAGTCTCGGACAAAGCTTCTCCTTAGGGCTTCTCGCAGTGCTTACAAAGCAGGTCAGGATTAGGGATGTTAGCAAGTAGTCAAGCAGAGAATCAACTACTCATTTTCCCCCACCCTTGCTGCCTCTGTATAAGAACCATAGGAACCAGTGCTGGGGGGAGCCAAATGAAAAGCCAGTTCCCCCCCACCCAGCAAAATGCAGGACAACGTAGCACTTTAAAGACTAACAAGATGGTTTATTAGATGATGAGCTTTCGTGGGCCAGACCCACTTCCTCAGATCTGAGGAAGTGGGTCTGGCCCACGAAAGCTCATCATCTAATAAACCATCTTGTTAGTCTTTAAAGTGCTACGTTGTCCTGCATTTTGCTGGGTGGGGGGGAACTGGCTTTTCATTTGGCTCCCCCCAGCACTGGTTCCTATGGTTCTTATACAGAGGCAGCAAGGGTGGGGGAAAATGAGTAGTTGATTCTCTGCTTGACTACTTGCTAACATCCCTAATCCTGACCTGCTTTGTAAGCACTGCGAGAAGCCCTAAGGAGAAGCTTTGTCCGAGACTCCCCCACTCCTGCTATTATCCACTCTCAGCCTGTGGTGAATTCCCCCAGAAACCTAGTACTGTAGCTCATTTAACCAACATGATCTCTTGTCTCCTGTAAGTCTGACCAGTGACCTTGTTTCTGGTTTGAGGTGGTTTGTAGCCAGCAGGGGCTGTGACTGTTAGTGGGAAATAGGCTGATAAACTGCTCAAAGGGGGAGCTCACTCATGACAGACTTGGTCCTACCATGTTAACAAATGCCTGAAGAGACTTCTGTTGGGACACTTGCAGCTCAGAGTCTTCACCCCCAGTCTGTCTCCTAGGCAGAGGGGCCTCAATTACCCAGTCTGTTGGCACATAAAATGGTGAGCCCCATCCCTGCTGCCCTGGCTAATCTGGTAGTGCAGCTGTCCTGCAGTGGTTACTGCAGCATAGTTCTCCCTTTCACTTGCTGTCCCCCATGGCCACTATGAATATTGCATCCTTCTCACCACCCCATCCCTTTCTGTGTCCTGGAAAACAGTCCCATTCCCCACCCTTCCCATTTTCCTAGCACTACCAAACCCTGACCATGTTTTAAGTTAGGAGAAGAGGAAGCTGTGCGCCAAATTTGGTTCTCCTAGTTCTTATCGTTTAGGAGGAGTTCTTGAACAAACAGACCCACAGACAAACAGATGCACATTTCTAAAAATATATAGATAAACTTATTGATAGCAAGATGTAATATGTTTGGAGAGTGCTGCAGGTGTTAACACAATTCATCACTTGTGCATTCATAAACTATAAAAGAAGCTTCCTTTTACATTATACAGAATCCTTCCTCAAGCCTAATGACATGGTTAGCACTGGTGGTAGATAAAGATGTAGTTTTCTCTGAGTCAGAGTGACAAATTAACTCTCCTAAATTCAGATTTGAACTCTGCTCTTTGTAAATGAGGTTAATGCAGTATAGTGCTAATACAAGGAGGAGTCCTTTGACACCTAAAGGCTAAGATTTGGGCATAAGCTTTTGTGGGCAAAGACAAAGTGGATCTTTGCCCATAAAAGCTGATGCTCAAATAAATCTGTTTGTCTCTGCAAAAACAATGAAGAGTCCTGTACATCTTAAAGACTGGCTAAGACAGCTACCCCTTGATACTATACTAATAAAATTCACCCTTTCCAAAATACAGATTTAAACTTATGTTCCTTTTTCCCTTTACAGATTTCCATATTGTCTTTGGTTGATGCCTTTTAGCCAAGATGTCAGTGAATCCTATGGCATATGAAGCTCAGTTCTTTGGTTTTACCCCTCAGACGTGTATGCTTAGGGTCTACATTGCATTTCAAGACTACTTGTTTGAAATGATGCTGGTTGTGGAAAGAGTCATTCTGAAGAAACTAGAAGGCTTTCCTAACTCTAAGATCAGTCCATTCCAAATCCGTAAGAGCACAGAGAAATTTCTTCTCTTTATGAAGGAGCGCTTTGATCATCTCTTCGGCAAAATGGAACAAGTGCTTTTGCAGTTGGTGTTAAACATCCCTAAAAATGTTTTACTTCCTGAAGACAAGGTCCAGGAGCAGTACCCCTACAGTAAGGAACAGTTTCAAATGCTGCAAGGTGAAATTGATCAACTACAGAAACAATACAAAGTTGAAGTGTCTGCTAGACAGGCACTTTTAGCAGAGCTTGAAGAACAGAAAGTGGTTCAGACAGAACTTGAGAAGATTCTCCAGTGGTTTGATGGGCTAGAGAACATATGCAGAGAGCACGGGACTAGCAATTTAAAGGAGAGCTTTGCATTCTTGACACAAACTTCTAAGAAATTGCAAGATATACTAAAAGAAGTTGAAAAGAAAAACAAAAGATTGCCAAAAAGTAATCTCCATGTAGTGTAAATAAAATACTGAAAGGGTAACAGAGAAACAAGACAATTTCTCAGGATTTCTCCAGAAGCATTTTAAGGTTTTGAGGATTTTGTCACCTCTTCCTTGCCTTATCAGTTTTTTACAAAGCTGATGTGTGTAAATATTCTGGGAAACCATTTTCCCCTCCTGAATTCTATAAATACCGCATAGAAACTTCTTTAAAATAACCATATCCCCTAGGAATGTTTAAATTAATTATCCAAATGGTAGCAGTGCAGATGCAAAATAAGTGCATTGTCATTACTTCAATTCTCTGTATTAGTACATTTAAGCAACCTTTGAGGTTAAGGTGCTTTTAACCTATTCTACATTAAGGTATTTTTTGGACGTCAAGGGTTATCATTATTGGAATATTCCATATAGAAACGTAAGAATGTGACATAGTAAAACTTAGGGCTTGAGGAGAAATAAATTTAATAATGTTGGAGTTGGAAATAATTTAGACATTGGTGAGTGATTTCTAAGATGGAGAAGTTAGCTATTACTTCAAGTATTTTAAAATTGTGGTTGATATTCTGATGAAGTTAGCAGACTGGGATGTTTCCTATTTTTAGTAGGAGCATTTGACGCACAGTCAGTATTCGCAAACCTGTTGGTAGTAGGTGATTTTACTCATTCTGCAAATGGATAGTTTTGCATTGATCAAGAGGTACACAACTGTAGAGTGCTGTTTGTTGTAAGAGACAGATATGAGCTACTGCAAGAATAACTAAGACTCTGAACGGCTTTAGAAGTTTTCTTGCATATCCTAGTGTCAGCACAACATTGTACAATGTGCAACTCTTGCTAAGCAAAATTAAGTTTGCCCAATAATACAATGGGTGTTCACCTACTTTACTTGGATGTTGCGAGGACTGATTAATATTTGTGAAATCTTGAAGTCCTTGAATTAAGCTTACTTTGATGGATTGTGGAACAAGCCCATATAAAATAAATGCGATTCTTTCCATTGAGGTCAGTGGCTTTTGGATCAAAGCTTATGTGCATATTAGTATAGTAAAAAGAAGCTTAAATTTGCAAGCACAAAACTTCATACTTTAAAGGATACTTGCTTGAAAGATGTGAACTTCTATATAATTTGAGCTACTTAAATAAAAATTATACATGAAGTGACCAAATATTTTCTCAGTGCATTCTGAAACTGTATGTTCTGTTAAATTTGTCAAATACCTGAAGATTTCTTGATCAGCTCAGTAAGTTCAAAGAAAAGGAAGGTCAAAATGTCAAGTCTGTACTGATTGTGTGCCCATTATTACATTTTGCAACTTACTTTGGGCAACGAAAGTCAGTGTCTACATCTAAAAATTTGGCCAGTGACAACTTTCGATGTTGAACTCTAGTCTGTGTGAACATACATCAAATAATGCCTAAGCATTTGCTAATGCCGGGATTGGCAAAACACAACCTGCAGGCTGGAGCTGACCCACCATGACCCTAAAAGCCATCAAGTGCAGTGGGATGCTCAGGCTGCCTGACACAGCCCTGGCTATGCTGCTCCCAGAAGCTGCTGACTGCTTCTAGCAAGCATGTCTATCATGGAATTCAGCTAATAAGAGCTGCAGGGATAGGGACGGAGCTTTCCCCTCTTCATCCCAAGAGGTGCATAGGGACATATTTGCTAACAACCACCAGCTGCTTTGAGTGGCATGGGATCACCATGGCGTTCAGGCAGTGCCAGCTAGGAGTCACCTATAGAAAGCCTCTCCCAGCCAGGGCCTAGTCTGCATCTCTCACCCCTTTTCCACACGCCAACCTCCTGCCCCAGGTCAGAACTGCCTCCTGAATCCATACTCCATACCAAACCCTGCACCCTCTCCTACATCTCTGTCCCAGGTCAGAACCCCCTCCTGCACTCAAACACCCTCCCATACCTTATACTCCCTCCTGCACTCCAATCCCCTGCTTTGAACTCCCTCCTATGCCCAAACTCTGTCCCAGACCCCACACCCTTGCTATTAATATAATAGAAAACAGCTGTATGTGACCACTTACCAAAATTCTTGGAGTGGCCACCACGCCACGCTCCCCCTCCCCCCATGAAAATTATTGCCCACATCTGTTTTAATGGAAATTATACTTAAGTATCTTAAAGACCCATTTTGTATGTTTATTTTTCTGCATTTTTTGATCAGTAAAATCTGGATCAGTTTCCCCACCACTCATTCTTACATATAGTAAGCTTCTCTGCTACTGCATGGCTACAGTTTAAACTATAGCTAGGAAATTAGGAACAGATGCTGAATAAGAAGATTAATGTTTAAGATGCAGCTTCACCTGGTTTTCATAAATAAAGCACACTAACTTTTTCCCCCCTCAAATTGCAAAGGCTATTGCCTATACTTTGAACAAATCATGTCAATTTGTGAAACTTGCATCCTTTTACCATATTCTTCGACTCAGAGTGATTTAAAAGTAAATATTCCAATAACTCATAAGATAGTGTGCCACAGGACTTCTCGTTCTTGCAGATTCAGACTAACATGGTGGCTACTCTGATACTTGTAATAAGATAGTGATGCATTTTTCTATTGCTGCTCTAGAAAATCTCATTAAAAAAATCTTTATTGCTAATGTGTTTTTCTGTGTTATAACTACAACACATCTTTAGATCTGTGTTATCCAACCAGTTCTGAAGCAGTAGCCACTATAGTGAACTAGCCACACTCAACCCGCCAAATAGCCCCATGTGGCTAGCATGTTGGACACTATTGCTTAAGATATTGTTTTGTCAGACAGCCCCAAGGGAGTTTCATTTTCATTCTGAACAACAGTGCATGTTAATTGGAAATCTAGAGCAGGAAAAACAAATTCTTAATTTAAATGTAAAATTAAGTAAACATTTGGGTGTCAGTACTAAGTACAGTAATACAGACAGTTTGACAAGGCAGGAGATGAAGAATACAGATCCTGTATTATTTCTTCAGGGTGCAATTAAAAGCTCCTGTCTGAGCCTTAGAGTTACTGGTCCATAAATAGGAGCTAAAGCACAAGAGTTGGGGGGGGGGGGGTTATGGTAAGAAATAAAAAGAAAGTCCATGTGGGGCCAGAGGTCTGTCTCCCATGACACTGATCGTGTTTATTATTCATTGCTAGTGATGATAGCATTTCCCCAAGGCATGGCTCCCTCCTTAAACAAACAAGGATGATGTTTTGAGTTACATAATGATGAATAGTGCTGAGGATAAGAATAGTGCTGAGGGGATAAAATGATTATGTGTGTAGAATCTGTAATGGTGGGGTTTAAATCCATTCACCAAATACATGTTATCCAAGCTGGATAAGAAAAGCAAAACACATACCCAAATTGCATTTTTTCTTTATGATTTTAAGCTCGCTGACAATAGTTTTGAATTTTGAACAAGCACAAGTTCTAATAGATTTAAACAAAAAAAATTGAGTTTCACCCTGCTAAAGGTGGTTGGTTTATTGGGTCATCCAAACTCCTTACTACGATAAGATTGTGATCTCAGATAGTCCTGAGAAGTTTTCCCCTCTGTTTTCTAAGGTTATGGAATGCACCCTTCTTTTAAGTAGAACAATGTATTTAAAAAAAGGTAGAAGCACAGTTAACTTCATTGCACTGTATCCCTCTTCTGACAACAATTAATACATGACCCCAGGAGAGAGGGACCAAAGACTGAAACTGCCTGAGCTCCAAAGTCCA